AACCTTTAAAAACATACTACTACAATATGAATTTTAAATTAGGAGGACTGAAAATTTAAAAAGTATTATAATTGTACTTAAAATTACATATGTTTATGTTGAAATACCTTCTCAATTGCAACAATATTTCAAACTACTAAAACAATCACTATTACATTTATAATATACTATTGTAATATATAAATTTTAAATTAAAAGAGCATAAAATTCGAATAGTATTTTATCACAGTCATGCCTAAAAGTATATATGTGGTTATGATGAAATGTTTTTTCTCGATTGCAATAATGTTTTAAATCATACTAACAGAATCAATATTACATGCATAATTTGGATAAGTCAACTTCTAACAAATTTAAACATCAGTGTTTTGTGACCTGATATCATGATGAGACAGATAATAATTTTTAATAAATCTTTATTTACTACCCTTTTAATGGGTTTCTAGAAAGAAAAACATAATAGACACTGTTGTTGAGGTCCAGCTGACCTGACAAGTACTGGTATTGAATAAAAGGCCTCATCAACAGTAATGCTAGTTTTGCAGTTAAGATACAATAATGTCCTTAGTAAATAAAGATTTGCTAAATATTATCATCAGTTTTATTGTGATGTAATTTCACACAAAACATTGATATGTAGTTCACAATTTGCTGGTATAAGGCATTCTAAATCATAAAATTTCTAAGGAATTTAATATAAAAAGAAATAAGGTACTACTCATTTCAGAACAACCTTCAAGCTCTTTCCAGAATTACAAGTTTAGTTTTAAGTGCCTGTTCTGTAACTTGTTTACCCTCTAAATACAATTATGTAGTTACTCACAATATACGAAACAAAATTTTTAAAAGATATTTCATAACCAAAAATTCTTGTGACCAATCCCTAATACATTGATACTATTTGGTTTAATAGATAATGAACATCTGCCATACTTTGAAGGGGGCAATATAAGATTCAATTTGTAACTTTAAAACAGTCCAATGTGGCCAATTGCACATTACCAGGTTCTTATTTGAGATTTATGAAGGCTCTGCTTTCTCAGTCATACTTTCAAATTTCTTTTAATATTGTTATTAAACTTTTGCAACAGTTTATTTGGGACCTAGCCTGTCATTATCCTTATTGCATTTAAAAGTTTTCTATCAAGTTCTGACTGCTAGAAATGGCATAAATTATAAAAATATTATTATTTTGTAGTTTGAATGTAAATAAACTGGCAAAGCTTTAAAATATTCGTTCTAAAGAAAAATACAACACAGTTTGGCATAAAAACATTAAACTTCCTTGAAGAGCTGTTGGTTCTGCCGTAGTATTTTCACATAAACTCATCACTTGGAAGATTAAATTGGATAAGTCTGCTAAATAACACAAACTTCAGCAAGAAAAGTTGTAAAGTAATACTGTATTATGTTCAAACTAGCTAAGTGCATGTTAAGAGATAAATGAGCTGGAAAAGTGTGGAATATGATGGAAATAATCTGTATTAATATCATAAACACAGTGGACATGAGAGTCACCCTTACTGGAGTTGCAAATTGATCTAACTGGCTGTACTCTCTCATGACTTATTTCCAAAACTGCCCAGTTTTCTTAAAATGATGTTCCAAGCTATCTAATTCTAATGTTACTTAGCTAAATCTGTAACACCAGACTTATCTAGAGCAACTCCACACTATCCATGTGACTGGTCATTCCCATGTCAAACATAAAGGAGGATGTACTTTTGAAATATCACTTCATTCATTTAACTTACCAATAGAGGACACTAGTGTTAACCATCATGCACAAAACGCAGCTTTACATGTGAAATTCTTGCAAAATTAATTAAAAAAAATATAAGTCCCTTTATTACGACAGTTACTTTTGAAAATAGGTTATAGAAAAGACACTCTTATTTGTGTCTGACTCAAATAACTATTGTATCTGTAGCACTAGAGTTCAACTGTTTTCCAGAGTCAATCATCATTACAAGATTTGAGAAACTCATGAAAATTTTCTTTGACTGACATGTAATAAGGGATATTTACCTTCATTTGATATTGAAACAGGAAAACAAAATACTGAATAACTAAAATATTAACATTGGTATATCTTAATATCACAGTCCACCAGAAGTATAAACACAGAAAATACAATTCACCAAACACTTCAAATTTTACTGTATTGCTGTATCAGTATCACACAAGCTTTTGAGATGAAAAC